CCACCATTCCCACTTGGTCCAAGGACCATCCCATCTCTCCCAGCTTGTAGGAATAGCTTCCTCTTTCCTCATAGCCCCCTCATTTCTCTTTTGCTATTATTGATCTTTAACATTTTAAAATATAGTAAGTTATGTAATTGTCACTATTTTTCCACTCAAACATTTGAGAATTTTTTGGTTGCTTTTACATGGATAAAGTTGAAAGCAACTATTTGAGAGTGGAGAGTTGTATAGTAAAATCAATATACAATATTTTCTGTGAGAAATTTGTCTAGTTCAGATTTCAGGTCACTCATAACAGTATTTTTTTTTTCTTTTTGGGTCCGGTCGTGGGGCCTGAACTCTGGGCCTGGGCGCTGTCCCTCAGCTCTTCAGCTCAAGGCTAGCGCTCTACCACTTGAGCCACAGCGCCACTTCCGGCTTTTTGCTTTTTGCTTATGTGGTGCTGAGGAACCGAACCCAGGGCCTCAGGCATGCAAGGCAAGCACTCTACCACTGAGCCACCTTCCCAGCCCCACTCATAACAGTATTATTTCTAATATATACATATGTGAAATCTTTTATGTAAAGAAATATTGTAAAAAGGAAAACTTTTGATTGTTTTTTCCCCAAGTGAGCGGTACAACTTGTCAGATTTATCATCAAGTTTTGAATTTGTGCTCTATGTGTATTTTTTTTTTTTGTCAGTTGTGGGGCTTGAACTTTTGGGCTAGATGCTGTCCCTGAGTTCTTCAGCTCAAGGAAAGCACTTTACCACTTGAACCACGGCATCACTTTCAGTTTTCTGGTGGTAAATTGGAGATAAATGTTTCATGGAATTTCCTGCCCAGGCTGGCTTTTAACTGTGGTCCTCAGATATCAGCCTCCTGAGTAGCTAGAATTACATGTGTGAGCTACTGGCGCCTGCCTTCCATGTGCAATTTTTATGGATGAATGTGGGGTTTATAGTAAGTCTCATGCGGAGCAAGTATTAGTATGAGAAGCTGATATGTGGAGACTGTGGTAAGTACAGCTTTCCTGAAGGGATTTCATTGCTGCAAATTCAAATCCATTCTACCTGCCAAGCAGTATATTCTAAAGGCTGCCAGTTTTGTAAACTGTGATCTAAATTTCAGGAAAACTTGAAGTTTATAAAAGAATAAAATTGTAAAATACTTAAATGATTTGGATTTACTTTGAAGTGTCATCTGTTACCTTTAATTTATCAGCATTAAGTTGTACTAAAACAAATGCTATGAAAACTAATTATTGTAAATTCTGTCTCTATCACATAACTTGTTGATTATTTAAAATTAATTATTGGTGTTGTTTTTGTTGGTGTTTTGACAAGAAGAATTACAATTTTCACCTTTTTTCTCTTATCATGATCAGCACAATTGTAAACAAAACTTAATTTGGTCAACTTCTATTCTTTAATGTTATTTCAGGTAAAGATCTTTTTAGCCACACCTAAAAAAAGTCTTTAAAAAACATGACAACATGTTATCAAAATAACATATACTATTTTAGTTTGTTTATGATGATGGGATAATAGAAATTATTTGAGCTTTCTTTTGTCCTCACTTGGAGAGTATATATCAAAATGAATGTGTTTTCAACTCAGAATTATCCACTTAAATATATTTACAACTTGTATGAAGCAAAAATGATTGCGTAACTATAGTGAGCAATGTACCTTTGCTCCTGTCACCTGATGTTTGTCAAATAAGAATAACAGATAGATTATAAAAAAATTAAAAAAATATAGTAGTTAGCCAAGCACTAGAGGATCATGCTTGTAATCCTAGCTTCTTGAGTGGCTGAGACCAGAGGATCATGGTTTAAAACCAGGCAGGCCAAGATTGTGCTTGAGAATCTTATTTTCAATTAACCATCAGAAAACCACCAGAACCTGTGGCTCAGGAGGTAGAGTGCTAGCCTTGAGCACAGCAGCTCAGGGACAATGCCCAGGCCCTGGTTTAAGCTCCAGGACTGGTATACACACACACACACACACACACACAATTAGATATTATTATATATTATGATATTGTATACTACATTATTGTATTATATAATTTATTATTATATTTTTGTAATATATATTTATATATAGTACATACATGTACTATATATATGTAATATTGTAGTAATACTCTGTTTGATCTCTTAGTGGTGTTCCATCAGATGCAGATTGAAAGCCAATTCTTTACAATGAACTTTAGCCCCTAGGTGACTTGGCACCCTGAGACCTTTCCTATTATACCTTATTGATTTCTTCCTTTCTAAATCTGGACTAGCTCCCAATGCCAATGAACTTCAGCCCCTATGTGACTTGGCACCCTGAAACCTTTACTATTTATACCTTACTGATATCTTCCTTTCTAAATCTGGACTAGCTCCCAACACCCATGCTACTCTGTATCCCAGGCAGCATGTGTTTCTGTTGGGGGCACTGCACTTGCTTCTTCTCCCTGGCATATCCTTGAAAACCCTCAGGCTTATACTTGCCTTCTGTGAAGTCTACCATATATATCTTCCCATTGAGGCAACGCTTGGTCAGCCTACCAACACATCCCTCATTGCCCAACATTTCCTATCTCTTTCGTTTCTGTTTACCAAAGACTTATTATAATCAAATCTCTAAATATTTTTACTTATCATTTGTGTACTTTCAGAACAAGAGATTTGGTACATTTCTTGTTTACTCTCTTGCAATGCCTAGCACATGAGAGCTTCTTAACAAAAATGACTTGCTGAATGAATAACACGCTCTTAAAGTGGGTAAAATAAGGAAAAATTGAAAACCCTCAAGCTAATGATGGCTGTAGGTCAAAAGACTTTCCTTTTTCTACTGGTGTCATTATTTTACTTGGCTGAAACCCCAAATCTGAAGAAATCTCTTTGCTATGCCACTCAGTAGGCCAGAACTAACTCCAGATTCTATCAACTGGTTATAAAAATTCGTAGGAAGGGCTATGAAGGTGGCGCAGTGGTAGAGTGCTTGCCTTGCATGCATGAAGCCCTGGGTTCGATTCCTCAGCACCACATGAGCAGAAAAAGCCAGATGTGGCACTGTGGCTCAAGTGCTAGAGCATTAGCCTTGAGCTGAAGAGCTGAGGGACAGTGCCCAGGCCCAGAGTTTAGGCCCCATGGCTGGCAAAAACAAAAAATATTTTAAAAAATGCATAGGAAATTTTATCGAGGAAAGGAAAGTGAATAAATAACAATTTCCATAACATACTATCTCACTTTTATGCTGTGTCACTCAGACTCCAAACCAGGCCATACAAAAATCCCTTCATATGATGAAATCAAGAGAGAGGGGAACCCTCCACCAGAAGTCCTCAGTAAACTCTCAATACTGCTGCAGTACCTGCTGCCTTTGCTCCAGAAGTTGAGCTTTCCTGATGTCCTAGGGCTTGATCAAGTGTCCTGAAACATCTTCTTTTATCCAGAGTCCTCTTCCAGCAATTTAACATCACCCTCTCTCTGTTTATCCAAAGAGAGGATGGACTCCAGATTTTTCTTTTGCATTAGCCAGTGAACACAAATTCTAATAAAACCCAACGATCTAGAATGAAGTATCACTTCAGGACTGTCTCTCTGCAGCCCCTTGCCCCTTTAAAATGGCTCTTTGGCCTCCTGTTGCTGGTGACTCATTCTTTATCTGTCTAGGGCAGGACTTGCTGTAACATAAACTTGGTACCTTGTAATAGGAAACAGCTCTGTATCACGTTTGTTCATATTCTGTCAGTAGATACCAGGGAGACAGAAGTATTCCTCTCAGATAGACACACTAATATTTAGTAACTGAATCTAAAGTCTGTTCTTTTAAATAGAAAACTTGGTAATATCTTGGCTCAGTATGTTAACCTCTTCAACAATACCCTTAGATCTACTATAGTGTTAAAGATTTTTCAACCTGTCCCCTCTAACATGCTAGCAATATGAGCATAGGATATTTCATAAAGCTTTTAAAAAATAGTTTACAATTCATGAACTTTAGGAGCATCTGAACGCATAAAGTTGTAACTAAGTTAATTGCTACGGACATATTTTGACACTACTTAACAGGACTCTTAATTTACTAGAGGCCCCAGCTTCCTGTTTTTAAACAAGTATGAAATAAATTATTATTATCAAGGTTGATTATTGACAAAAGAGCTACAGGATGTCATAACAAGGGAACACTTCAGTTTTCTTTCTTTAGTGTTAAAAAATACCAAGTCAGCAAAGCTTTCCAGGGCAAACACTGGGGCCCACCTCTGTCTGAGGGGTTCCTTAGAAGCACTCTAGATCTCTATGCTCTGAGGAGCTGCTCTGCTCTGAAGGGCTCTTAGAGTTATTGGCATAGGAAAGAGGCTTGAGATCTTTAGCTTGGGCCCTGGAAGGCTTCACACACCCTCCCACCAGTGTCTGAGGAAGTGAAACCACATACCAACAAATTAGTTTTGTTTTCCTGAAGTACTCTGACACTTAAACGAAGTTTTCAATTAGATTGCCAGATGAGATGGCTAGGAATAAAAGATTTAAATAGAAGAATAGCTAGCCTCTGGAGAGCATTATCTTTGATGAAAAACAACACTTTTTTTAATATTATCTTATTACAGGGGACAAATCTTGCATAATTATACTGGACCTCAGCCTCTGTTATAATCCTTCATGCTGAAATTCGTGGCCCATTTTGCCTTGCTCCTCTGTCCCCTTTCCCATCACCAACTGGTCACAACCAGAAACCCTCTCACTCTCCAAGTTCATGGTCAGCATCCTTATTACATTCCTTTTTTAGCAAAGCATTTACAAGTTAATATCAGTTATACATATTTACAAGTTAACGTAGATTAAAGATATGCAATATTGCTGTATTCACTGATAGTCTGCAGTACTTTAGGACTTTTACAAGTGATAGTTCATGTACAAATCTATTTATAGAGAAAAGTACAACAGTAGTTTTAAGAAATAGCTGTTTGTTTACAGGTATGAAAATGTTTTAAAAGAATTTTTACTTAAGAACTTACCAGAATTTCCTTGAAAACTTCTTTTCTTAATATCAGAAACTTGTCATTTTAACTTAGGTCTTCTTATTTTCCTTTTTGGATGGCCGTGTGACATATGAGTCTAAAGATCTTTTACAACACACACACACACACACACAGACCAAACAACAACAACAACAACCAAAACCCCCCCAAAACCCAACAAAACTAAGCCCTTAGGCAGGGATGCTTTCTGTCTTCCCTGTGAGCTGGCTGAATGTGGAAGGGGCTTTGGCTGTAGAAGCAGAATGAGCAAGCAAAATGCAGGTAGTTTCAGTTTTGCTTTAGAAGATACTTATTTGAATTTCTGAGGATGTGTGCATTTTTTAGGGTTAGGATTGTAGATCATTGGTAGAGTGCTTGCCTAGCATGTGTGAGGCTCAGGCTGAAACCACAGTACCACAAAAATAATAGACTAATAAAATCAGAGAAAATTGCCAGAAAATATAAAGCATTGTTTATCAGTTCTGTTTTGAAGTCATAAGAACTAAGAAATAAGGGGAACCTATAACAGAAATACCAGAAAGAACATAACATTAAAATCCTGGTCTAAGCCAAGTGTTGGTGGCTCATGCCTGTAAACCCAGCTACCCAGGATGCTGAGATCTGAGGATTACAGTTCAAAACCAACCTGGACAGGATAGTACAGGAGACTTTCTCTCCAATTAACCATCCCTATCAAAAAAAAAGGAAAGAAAGAAAGAAAAAGAGAAAATCCCTCAAAAAACCAGAAGTGGAACTATAGCTCAAAGTGGTAGAATGCTAACCTTGAGCAAAAGACCTCAGCAACTGTACCCAAGAGTTGGGTTCAAGTTCCTTGACTGAGAAAAAAAAATCATCTTGATATAAACTTCAGGATAGCGATAGGAGTGGGGAAAAGGGGTGAGAACGATGGAAGGGGTGACATTTATCAAGATGCATTGTCCTCATAACCTGACTCACGGAATTGAAAAGCCTTTGTTCAACTACTTAATAATAATTTTTAAAAAGTCTTGGTCTAATTTAAATGCCTACTGTGGGTTCAATTAATCTCCCTCAAATTCATATACTAAAGCCTCAGAATATGAATGCATTGGGAGACTCTCTTTTATAGTTTTTTGAAAGATTTTTTTTTTTTTTGGTCGGCCGTGAGGCTTGAACTCTGGGCCTGGGCACTGTCCCTCAGCTCTTCAGCTCAAGGCCAGTGCTCTACCACTTGAGCTACAGCGCCACTTCCAGTTTTTTGAAAGATTTTGATCTTCATTTTCTTGTTATACAAAATAATGGATTTTATTGTGACATTTTCACACATACTTTGATCCTATTCACTCTCCTTCATCCATTTTTATATCCCCCTCCTCTCTATGGGTCTTACACTTGCAGGACCAGTTTAAATTCCTACTCGTAATGGATTTGGAAAATTCACCTTATTTTATATCCTTTGTAACTCTTAGGACATCAGACTTTTAACCTTTGCCATTCAAGCAGGTATGAAATTTTCCTATGGTTTAAGTTTGCATTTTCCCCACCATTATGAGGTTGAGAAATCTTTGCATATGTTTAGGGCTTTTTATGCTTCCCTTGTATAGAATTCATGTTCTTTTGTATGCTTTTACAAAAGTAAATTGGTTATATTTTTCTTAGTCATTTGATTATGTTTTAATGTGCTCTACATCCTAGTCTTTTGTCCACTGAAGTTATTACAAATGCCTTCTAATTTTTAGTTTTTCTTTTTCTTTTGTGTTGATAAGCAAAAATTCTTAACTTCAACAGTGCTAAATTTATGAATCTTTTCCCTGTGGGGATGTTTTGTGTATCTCATTTAAACCATTTTTCAGGCTTGGTAATCATATTTTTTCACATTGTGTTATTTTTATTTGTCTTTACCTGGAGAATATGAGGTAGGGGTCCAATTCCATTCATTTTTGTAGGATTAATATTTTTTTCCAGCACCATGTCTCTAAAATAATCATGCAGTAAAAATATAAATATGCACTAAAGAATCACATTTCATGTATCAAGATAAGTGGGGTCTCTTTCTGGGTGTCATAGTCTGTTTTAGTCTACTGACTATCAGTTTATGTGAACAATATAGTTTTAATTTATGCTAGCATTGTAGTAACCCTTGATATCAAGTAAGGGAAATTTCTTTAGCTAATTTTAAAATATTAGCTTGGTTATATTTGTATATGTATCTATTTAATATTTTCACTATATATAAGCAATTGTTCAAAGGAATTGTCATTCAACAAAGCAGTTTATGAGTACAATGTATCCGATCATCCCTTTCAACATTCTCTTAGGAACCAGGTAGGTAAGTTGAGTGGATAGGTGGCATTGGGAGATATGGGGAAGGACAAAGGGTAACATTAAACAAGATTCATTACACTCATAAACTGACATGTTGAATTGAAACTCTTTTATACAACTGTAATGACATACCATAATAATATATACATAATAAAATCCTTTTAAAATTAAGGGATGTTGGTTGTATGCAGAAGTTCATTATGATGTATCCATACAGGTATGTGATATATCCTGATCAACCTCATCCCCGAGTCACTCTCTTACCCCACTATTTACACTTCCATCATTCATATATAGACAAAGTAAATCAAATTAAAGAATTTCCTCATTGGGATGCCTCATACAGAAATCGTGTGATTCACAGTACTCACAGGACCATTTCTCAGGTCTGAGGGGAGGAAGGAATTGCAAAATAGTTAACCCATGGGTCTGGGAAGGTGGCTCAGTGGTAGAGTGCTTGCCTTGCGTGCATGAGGCCCTGGGTTTGATTCCTCAGCACCACATAAGCAAAAAAAGCCAGAAATGGCACTGTGGCTCAAGTGGTAGGGCCCTAGCCTTGAGCTGAAGAGCTGAGGTACAGTGCCCAGGCCAAGAGTTCAAGCCCATGACCGGCAAAAAAGCAAAACAAAAACAAACAAACAACAACAAAAAACCCAGTTAACCCAATATAGAGGAACAGCTTGTGTTTTTTTCTTTTAGGGATTTGATAGGCAGTGAAAGAATCACAATGTGCAAAATTCCTTAAATAAAATGTACTGTCTTTAAAAAAGAATTTTCCTTTTCACAACTCAATAAAATGAATAAAATAGAAGGTAGTAAGCAGAAGAAAATAATATTACCACATTCCACCAAAAGAAGGGGTGAAACATTTCTATAAATTATTAGACAAAATGGTAATCACAAAGAGAGAGACAAAGTATTCCAAGATTGATAGTTTCAAATTTTGAAACAAGGGATAAGACGGTTCCAAAAAGCAGTCCTGAAAAAATTTAAATATTTTTAATATCTGTTTTATTGTAAAAATACTGTACAGACTTATTATAGTTATATGAGTAAGGTAATGAGTACATTTCCTATGGAGCATTGTTACCTCCTCCTTTGTTTTTCCCTACCATCCCTTCTCCCCCCTCCACAATTCCCTCCCTCCTCAACTCCTCCCTCCCCCCCAAGTCGTTTTTCAACATAGTGTCATGCACATCTCATTATTACAATGGGTCAACCTGTATCCTTATTTCAGCATTTTGTTATTTCCCTTACACTCCTCAAATTAGAAAAATGTATGTACAAGACGCAGGGCACTGGGGCTGGGAAGGTGGCTCAGTGGTAGAGCGCTTGCCTTGCATGCCTGAGGCCCTGGGTTCGATTCCTCAGCACCAAATAAGCAAAAAGAAAAAACTCAGAAGTGGCGCTGTGGCTCAAGTGGTAGAGCACTAGCCTTGAACTGAAGAGCTGAGGGACAGCGCCCAGGCTCAGAGTTCAGTCCCCACAACCGGACCCCCCCCCCAAAAAAAGATGCAGGGCACCAGCATCAAGTACAATGAAAACAGGGGTTATACTATGGGGGAAGAACATATAAGAGAAACAAAAAAATCACATAATACATTTTAAATATGTTAAAAATAATAGCAAGAAAGAAATAAACCACTTGTGTTCCTATCTTGGGGTTCATTTCACTTACATCATTTTATATGGTCATATGTATATAGCTTTTGACCTTTTCTCCTTGTCCTAGACTTATATTAGTTATTGCAAATAAGGCAAACCATGGGACCTATGTTTCTTTGGGCCTGGCATACTTCAGTCAATATAATTTTTCCCCAGCCTTTCCATTTCCTAACAAATGGGGCAATGTCATTCTTTCTGATGGAGGCATAGAATTCCATTGTATAAATATACCACAGAAAAAAATTTAAATATTCTTAACTTGTGGAAACACAAACAAATGTGTCGTAGGTAACCAAGTGAAGGCTGCATTAAAAACCCTTTTTTGTCATCTTGGTGTTGCCACCCAAATCTCAACCAGAGAAAAGTAGTAGAGAGCTGGTAGAAGAATCACAGTTTCCTAATTTGCAATTCATCTTCAGCAATGAAGCCCTTTTGTATGCCTTTCAGGGAAAGAAATAGAATGAGACCTAATAGGTAAGAACTTTGAGAACTGCATGGTAGGCTAAAGTAGGACCTGAAGAGCGTCTCAGGACACATACTTTTCATACTCGTTCAATGCAGTCATCATAACTGAAAAATTAAGTGAAGGATGCCTCTATTCCCTTTTCTATTGGTGAAGGGAATAGGGACAAGCATTGAAGAGGCAAGTGGAAACAAGGCACTTGAATGGTGACCTATGACCCTGAATAAGAAAAATGTATACTTGAGTGACCAAACTATGAATTATATTTCAGGATAGATTGGAGACTGTGCCTTTTCCTGGAACCAGTGTTTCTGTGGCTTTGCCTGGTTGAGAGAATGATGGCATGTATCCTATCTGCAATGGTCCATAGTACAGCATAGTCCCTGATACAAGGCCAAACAAAATTCCATCACTTAGATCCCCATACCTTAAGTACCAAATAACTCAATGATTTATGTGTAATAACTAAATAGAACAAACTCAAAACATGACTAATATTGTGAAAAATAGTATTAACTTCTGAAGGTATTATAAACACCCTCTAAGGCATATAAGAAAAATAATTTAAACTGCACAATAAGCTCTTAACTATCTTCTCTACAATATTGTTTCTATAGCCAATGTGTTGTACACTTAAAAATTTCTTGAGGCCATATCTCATCCAAGTGTTCTTACTGCAATAGAATAATAAAGTAAGTCTCATAATCATGTAAGTCACTTGACAAAAAAAAGCAAAAAGAATGCAGACTAACATTTACATGACCTATAAAAATTGATTTTCTTGATGTGTA